TCATTTTTCAATTGGGTGAACAGATTTGGAGAGGTTCAAATGATTTGTCAAAGTCATACAACTCACTATTCAGGTTAATAAAAGAACAGTCTCCTAATACCCAAGCCAATATGGCGGCCTAGAAAAAACAGTAAAATGTAGCAAAGGACAAAGAGAGCTACATAAAGAACAGCTTTCCTTTAGATGACACACATTGTGATTTTAAAAAAAGAACCGTGAGGCCTAATTATAAGAAAATCACCCCCACCCCTTCTTTTTTTTTCTGGACAGACAGAAATAGATAGGGATAGGATAATGATAATTCTCTCAAATTCCCAGCCCTGTAAATAGTTTTTAGTGTGCCCATAATTAAGTGAAAAGGCAAAAACATCTTGCTGCATCTATAAATCAGTAAGGCTACAGTCAATGGTTTCCATGAAACAAAGTCTATACAAAACAGCTCTGAAAGCAGCATATATTATAAAAGTATCTTGGTGTTCTCTCAATTTGTTTTATAAATTGTTCTGACTACACAGGTGACTAAGACCAAAAACAGAGTTCCTGCAGCTGCTCATGATTCATGTACTAGAAAAGAAAGATAAAAGATCCCTGCTCAGAGATTTATATCCAAATGCCTTACCCTAATTTACTTTAAGGTAATGGAGAAAAGGGGGTTGGGGGGCGGGAAGAGTCCCAAACTTGGATAATGAGAAAAAAAAAAAAAATGTCACTGCATGTTTCCTGGTAAGGACAACAAAGACACCCTGCAGAAATGAATGCATGGCCTCACTCAGCAGATCAAGTGCAAGACCAGGGGTAGGAAGCTGACTAAGTTCTTTAGTCTAAAATAAAATAAACCGTCCAAATCACACAAGGAAAATTCAGAAAGCAAGAGTATTGACAATAAGGAACTGAATCAGAGACAGTATTTCCATTTCTGTTTCTATGTTGTGTTATGATTCTCTCATTCATATTTACTTTTAAAGAAAAACCTAAGAACTTCACATGACTCATGTCCATATATCACCTTCGTTTTCACACATTCCTGGTTTGTCATGTGTTAATTACAGTCCACAGTTAGATAACAGCCTACGATGGGAGGCATTGAATGGAAGCATCCTTACTTAGGCAAACTTGGGTCTCTGCTTTGTTGGTTAAACATCATCTACTTGCAATGACCAGTTTTTCCTCTGGCCTATAAAAGTGAGCAGGCAGGCAATTCTCTTCTCAGAAACAACAATTTCAGACTGGAACTACAGTCAGCCACGGTGCTGGGATATAGAGACATCTATGCAATCTCCTTCAGTCTGTACAGCTACCATCTGAGAAGAATCTTTATAACTATTTTATAATCAGACAGATTACAAAACGGAAATCCCAAGAAGCTTAACCATTTCATTTGCCTAAGGTCATCTGTTTCTAGTGGTAAAACAGGAATTGGAATCTAAGCCCTCAGAGGCTGAAGCCTACCAAGCTCCCACAACATTGTAGGTGCTCCCAGACAGGGAAAAAAAATAGGGGCACATGTAGTGGGATTCCCACCCCTTGCAGAAACCTCCAAAACTCATAGATATCTGGGCAGGGAATTTTTTTTTAATGTTATTAAAGGTGTGGTACAAGTTGTATCACCTATCATTAAAGAACAAATCTGACTCTCAATTTGCTATCTTCAAATCAGCAGTTAAATAAAATTTAGCAATTTTAATTGGTTTGGCACAAAACTTCAGATTTCCATATGGTTATTTTCCCTGTTTTATGTTAAATGTAATAGACTTAGCACTTGAGTTTTAAACTCTTGGCAGAATGTGTCAATTAAAAACTACATAAATTAGGATTATTCAAAGCACACATTCCAAGTTGAGTGATCATAAGGACAAGATGTAAAAATGCTCTTTTCACAAATTTTTTTTTCTATAAAGTAAACTTGCATTGTTACTCACATGGCAAACTTCATATAGAAAAAAAAGGGAAAAAATAAAGAAAAGGATATTTTTTTTCTAGTGAACGCTAACATTATATTTGCCTCTTCCCTGAGAGCTTTAGTGTATCTAAAATGGCTTTTTCTACACCATTTGCAAGACAATTTTTCCTATCTCAGTATTACTGAAACTGACAGCAGTCATGACAACTCTCAAAACCTGTAAAGAAACTAAAATGCAAGTGTAACATCAATAAACGTGGCATTGAGCACATTAAACTGACAGCACTTTTAACCAGATTTTCACTGGTGCTGTGAAATATGGCTTCCCAATTGTTATTTAATATATCAGACTATAATGTTTAAGAAAATGGTTATATATTGGAAGAGATGCTCTTTCTTAGCCAGAGCCACAATTTCCTTTGGGAACTGTAAAAATCACACAGCATGGATAAAAAAACAAGCAAACAAAAATTCTGAAAAATGAAAAAACACTACATTTCTTCAGACTTATAATTAAATTTATTGTCACTGTTACACATGATTATTGCCTTATAATTATTCTCTAAATATGAAGCGTATCACAGGTGCTAAGTAAATGAAAGAATCATTCATCAAACCCCAAGTGGTTGTTGATGGAATTTTCACACTTATTTAGCTTGACTGAAAGGCCAAAATGCCTGGTGTCCCCATGATTCTTGGAGAACTGTGTAATTCAAATTAACATATGTAAAAAATAATACTAAATTATCTTTTCATTTGTGGTTAATGAGAGAGTGTAGAACCAGTTGGCCTATACTAGAACTCTGCCATGTTTATAAGTGACTATTTAAACAACTGTATACTAATAGATACAAAGATAACATTAGATTAATGTTAGTGTCCAATTTCCTTATGTTATTCTTCATCTATGCAGAGCTACACTGAAAACTTCTAACTTTTGGGTTAGAAAATTTGACATGAAGCTGGATCTAATCCCCTCCTTTAATGCCATGGATTATTTTATTGATTCTGCGCTATCTCCAGGGACCCCTTTTTCAGTGACAGAAATGTAGAATTGTTAAAAGTATCCTTAAAGGAAACCTTGAAGGTCATAAGATCCTAGGCAATGAATGCCTTCATTCAACAAGAGCACTGCCCTCTTTTGCCTGCAAGCCCTTTAACATCAGCAAGTCCCCTCAAAGGGCCTGCACTTTAACTTGGTCTGAACAGGTCACATTTCTAAAATACTTAGCTGTCTCAAATGTCTCTGGTCGGCAGCACTGAGTCACTGAGGCCACAGGCACAGTGTTCAGGCTAGACTGACCTCTTTCTAGTTTTCAATGGAATTATTCCATGTAATCCTATTGACACAGCCATTTAATCAAAGCGAGAAAGGAGATTACAGAGCTCACATTTGTTTTGCAAAGCAGGGGTGCAAGGATCATCCATCCTTGGAACTCTCAAAGTGACTTGATAGTGCATCGCCTGTCTTTGGAGTGTTGGACATTAACCTGATCTGTCTCCTGTTTTCTTGTTTAAATAGGAAGGTTTGGCTCTTCCTGAACTAGAAGCTAGCTGCTTCTCCACCCAGATCTCACCATCACCATTCATGCCAGCAGATGCTACTATAAAAAGCAATAAAAACAATAGGTTCCCCACCCTTGCTTATTATTCTACAAAGCAGAAAACACCAATACATCAAGAGATTACAATAAAACTTTTCTTGTTGCAAGAATCCTTAATATTTGCATTTCAACAGCACACTATGGTGATTCCAGGTGTGGTGTCCAGTGCAAAGCCTAAAAACAACCGGCTTGCAAAAGAGGAGATAGGCACTCCACTTCTCTTCCTCATTTTAGAGACTCTGGGAGAATGTTCTGGTGACTACTTCTTTTTCACCAGGCACTGTCTCTCCGTCCTGCCCTTTTCCACACAGGTGGAAGGGGCTTTATTCTTGCTACTTCCGTCCTTATGTGTACATCTCCAAGACTAGGCATCTATTTAAAGCATGATGTTAAGCGGGTTGTTTAATCAAGCATTTTCAACACACTGTCGCCTTCATTCTAAACTACCGATTTGCATAAATCCTCAATTTCCCTTTTCCCCCCACCACTTCCATCCCTCCACACATTTCAGAAATGCAATCTCCTATAGAACCTCTGGGGGGTGAAAGGGCAGCCTTACCCAACCCTCCGCAAATACCAGAACAATTCTGAAAGGAAGAAGTAAGAAAAGGTAGGAACCCTCAATGGTTCAAAGAACTGTGGATGGGGGTACAGTGGCGTCCCTTTCTAGACGTCCAGGCAGATATTTGTTTCAAGGCGGGCGGGGAGGTCTCTAATTCTACCTCCGGGCAGTGCTTTTACCCACAGTGTTTCATGTACAAAGCACAATTTAGCAACACTGCGTATTATCTCAATAACTATCATTAGATGTGCCCATTTAAAAAAAGAAGAACTTTTTCTCTTTTGTAATGGAAGAAGGTGCATGCACTGTGGAGGCGTTACTTCATCTCTAGCTCTCTGGAGGGCCCACCCAGAGCTGCAAACTAGGCAAACGCCACATGAAGCCAAGTTTCCGCACGCGGCCGGGCAGGTTCCCCGCCCCGGAGAGCGCGGCCACTTTGGTGCTCAGTGTTGGGTTCATTCCCGCCGCTGCACCCGCGTCCGCGGCTCGACCCGCGCCCACCTAGAACTGCACAAATAAATCTGGGTTCCAGCGAGCAAGGATGGCACGTGGAGAGCTGTTTCATAATCTCCCGGAATCCACGGGAAAACGGCTCCCGTGCAAAGACATGCTTTCCCGTGATAACTGAAACTCCCAGGCCAAAGAACCGACCCTTCCATCGGATGCAGTTTCCGACTGACAGCTGCAAACTTAACTGCTGCGGCTCCAAACTTGACACCGACTCCCTCTCATCACTCCCACTCTTCTCCGATCCTCCAGGCTGGGTGGCTCTGGCTTGCACACCACACCAGCCTCCCCCGCACCCTCTAGGCTCTCCCGGCAGGCGCAACCCTGCATATACCGGTTACCGGTCCCAAGGAGTGCCGGCTTCCTCGGGGCTTTGGGGCATGATTTTCTTGGAAAGCCAGTGAGCTCCCGGGCATGCCCTACTCACTTGTGTCTTCTTCATAAGGAAAGGCAGCGCTGCGATCCAGCCCAGGCAGCGATGTGGCGACTCCGTTTAGCTGTTCTGGGGCTCCAGCATATTGCACGAGCAGCGGCGGCAGATAGTCCAAGCATTGGGCAGCCCGAGCGCAGCGCCCTCTCTACAGCCCGTGCTTCCCGCAGCGCTCCCGGTCCCAGCGCGAGGCGGCGAGTGAAGCCCGGGCCACCGCGCCGCCAGCGCTTTTATATAGATCCCTCCCGCCTGCTCTGGACACGCCTCCTTCCCTTCCGGAGCCCCGGGGAGGAGAGACGCGGGCAAGGGCAAGGCGGAGACCCGGGAGGGCGGCCAGAGTGCGGTGAATGCCCCAGAAGTTGGGCGGGTTAGGCCAAGCGCGTACCCAGCCTGGGGGCCTAGGCGCGCACCAGCGAGCTGCCACGAGGGTGTGGGGGCGCTTTGGGAGAAGCTTGGCAACCTGCGGCCGCCGCGCGCAGCCGTGTGCAGGGCGCTGCGAGTCCCAGCTTAGCCTCCGGGCTTCGCCGGGACTCACCTGGCACCGCCTGAGGACAGACGAAATTCCTCGCGGTTGGAGAGAGCTGGGAGCTTGGTCTTTTACTCGGAGGCAGAACGCGAGAGGACGCTGAAAGCAGTGCGCGAGAGGAGTTCGCTTCACCACACCTCGCCTTAGGGAAATTAAAAAAAAAAAAAAAGTTTAATTAGGATCCGTAGTTATGCCAATGTCTTACCCCCTTGATTTTTTTTAAAACAATTACTTTAGTGAATGAATATTTAATATTAAAGGAATTATTGACGCAGGGTTAAGTATTGCTAAGAGAGATGCTATTTTCAGAATGATTTACTGCAGTGTCTTTAGAAACCAAAATTGAAAGAAAAACGGTAGATTATTAAACGTGCAGATCGTTAACACAACACGGGTTTTGAAAGCTCTACTTTTTGTTAGAGAAGTTTTTGGATTCAGAAAGATAATGCAACAGTAATAGTAATAGCTAACACCAGTATGCGATGCCCCGATTTCCTGTGTACCAGGCTAAGAACTTTAACATAAATTCTCTCATTAAATCTTTCCCACAAACCGATTGTATAGACTGATCCTTTTCCATTTTACGGATGGTGAAACACGGCCAGATGATTTTCCCAAACAACCTAGTAAATGGCAGAGTGCTAATTTAAATCTCGAGCCCTTTCAATCCCAGGACACTCACAAAAAAATAAAAATAAATCTAGAGCCTTGGCTGTACTGCCTTCTAAAAATACTTTGAGCAGATATCTATTTGATTATCCAAAAGGCTTCAATATTTATTCTTAAAACTGAAGAACATTAAAAAGCATTTTGTTAGCTTGATAATGAAAATGTTAGATATTAACCTCAATGATCTTTTGGAGCAAGCATTATATATGAATTCGGGAATTAGTTATTTTCTTAAGACTGTAAGATTCCAAATTTGTCTTAATTAGTTCCCTTGCCTTTGTTAAAAATAAATATGCCAAATCTGTAGTGAGAGGAACATCTAGATAAAGTTTGAAGTTCACCATGTTAGTTTTCTTTTGCTGCTGTACAAAAAAAAAAAAAAAAAAAAAAAAAAAAAAACACCATAAATGAAATGGCTTAAAGCTCACAAATTCATCTTAGTGTTGGAGGTCAAAAGTCCAAAACGGTCTCTTTGGGCTAAAACCAAACTGTTGGCAGGATTGCATTCCTTTCTGGAGACTATGAGAGAGTTTCCCTGCCTTTCGGAGTTTCTAGAGTTTGTCCACATTCCTCAGCTCAAAACTGCCAGCAATGCTACATTGAGTCCTCACCTCAAACAATTCTCACCTTCTCTCTCTCTCTCTCTCTCTCTCTCTCTCTCTCTCTCTCTCTCTCTCTCTCTCTCTTCTGTTCCCTATTACACTTCTAAGGACCCTTGTGATTACATTGAACCTACATGGATAATCCAGGATAATCTCCCCATTTTAAGGTCAATTGTTTACCAAACTTAATCCTATCTATGGCCTAATTATCCCTTGTCATGGAACTGCCATGTAACATGGCATTCACAGCTTCTGGGGATAATGACATAGATCTCTTTGGGGGACTGTTAGTCTACTGTACTTAACAACAAACAAGTTCAGGGAGAACAGAAACAGATATGAGTTCAGTACATCACTGCATCCCTCCTCAATTGCTTCACCCTGTGGGCACACCCAGCTAGAAGAGTTTCCTCCTCCATAGCTACAAAAACAAATTTTTGAGAAAAGAACCACAAAAGTTGAAAGCATTAAATAATTGCTTTTACTTTCAATCGGAAAGGTGCTATAAACCATTTTGAAAAGGGGTGGAAAGAAGGTGGAAGACAACAAATATTATATTAGAAAATCATTTTACTGAATGATTTTTCCCTGGTAATCCTAATTTTAAATAACCAGCCTTCTGTATCATTTTGCTTTAAGAGTCTTCCAAACAGCTGCCTATCTACCAGGTACAAAGAAGCTGTGTTCCTGAAACTTACCCTGTTATGTCTCATGAAAAGGGAAATGGTTTTGAGGAAGGTTGGTTCTGCTTCAGATCTACTGCAGGCCAGAAGACTTTGCCTCAAAGATTTAGCAGTGAAACATCCATAACTATAAATGTTCCCTAGATGACTTTAGGTGGTACACAGATGAACTTGTTTGTTTATAAAGTGGATATATATTAAAATGTCTATTTTAAAATATATTTAGATAGCATATAAAACATGGTTCAAAGTTGGTAATAGCTTAAATTTGTGTGTGTGTGTGTGTGTGTGTGTGTGTGTAGCCTTTATCAAAAATTAGGCCGGCATGATGGTATAGCCCTATAATCTCTGCAGGAGGCTGAGGCCAGAGGATTCAAGTTCCAGGCCAGCCTCAGCAGCTTAGGGAAGCCCTAAGAAACTCAGTGAGACTCTGAATCTAAATAAAATACAAAAGGGGCTGGGGGTGTGGCTCAGTGGTTAAGTRCCCCTGGGTTCAATAACTGCTACCAAAAAAAAAAAAAAGTATAAATACATAAATACATTATATATCAAATTTAAAATGGTTGCTTAATTTTAATAATTGAAGTTTAGCAAATATTTGTTTCTTTATTAAGCTGGGTTTTTTTTTTAAATCAAGTATTTTATTTTCCCCTGTTTTATTAAGATATAATTGACAAATAAAAATACATATYTTTGCCATGTGCAGTGTAATGTCTGATTGTACATTGGGAAATTTTAAATAATGATGATTAACATTTATCACTTGGCATACTTACTTGTGGGAATGAGAACACTTAGAATCTACTTTATAAAGAAGTTTTCAAGTATACTTTCCATTAATATTAACTATAGTTAACATGCTGTACAATAAGTCTCCAGAACTTATTCATCTGAAGCTTTGTACCATTTAACCAACATATCCCTATTCCTCTTAGAAAAAAAAAAGTTTCAATTTAAACTGAATTTAATGTGTGACATTAAGTAAATAATAAATAGTAGTAAAGGAAAATGAATATGACAAAAATCATGATGACACTTAATGAAGTCTGGGAAGCATAAATCATACTAATTTTATGAGACCAATAGGAAAGAGTGACCTAATAATTGGGCTAGGTAAAGAAACCAGACAGTGGATCTATCGGAAATTCAGTTCAATTTCTTTTTATTGGCATGTTCCATTCATCTTACACAATGCACTTACTCTCCTTTCTCCTTCCCTTCTTTTACCTCTCATTTACCTGTTTCTCTTCCCATCTATACCACTCCGAAGCTCTAGCCATATTAATATCATTGCTACTTTCCCCTTCCATAACTCTTGTCTTAGCCCCTTTTCTTTTTCTAGAACAAAACAACACACACTGAGTTAATTTATGAAGAACAGAGGTTATTTAAGTCATCATTATTAGCTAGAGCTAAGAGAATGGCCCTGTCATTTGCTTGGCATCCAGTGAGGGCCTTCTTGCTACATCATAACATAGTGGAAATTATCACATGGTTCAATAGCAAGCATGCCAGAGAGTTCACTTTGATAACACAGTCACTCCCATGATATCCCATAGGATTCATCCAGTCTTGATTRCAAAGCACTCATGACCCAATCACCCTGCAAAAGTACCCCTTCAGCACAGCTGGACTGAATACCAAGTTTCCAGCCATGAATTCCAAGGGACATACTCACCCCATAGCAACTCTGATATTTTGTTTCCTTTGTACCGCCGCTTTACAGTTTTGTTGCATAATCAGGTTATTTGAAATTAAGTCAAAGGAATTTAAAGAAGATATCAAAGGGATTAAAAAGAGCTGGTATGCAAATCAAAGATTGTAGATAAATTCATCCAGAGGTTAAAAGTGGGTCAGAAAAAAAACAGACTTTAAAGCTTGCTTTTGAGAGAAGACACAAGCTAGCATTCAGTTCCTTAGCCTAAGAGGACCAGGGAGCTACTTAAAAAGTTAACATGAGGCAGGGCTATGTCCCCAGGAGACAGAAGGCATGGGGATGTTTTCTCACAGAAGCAGTATAGTCCTATTATACAGGTCAGGAAGTTTAGCATTTAAAACCTTGTGCAGAAAGTCTTCTCATAATAATCTAGTCTTTACTTGCATACTTTTTGCACTGGTTAGTCATTCATGCTTTTTTTGATTAATTGTTGGAAAACTTTAAAATTCTTTTTGAGCTTTATTGTTTTTGTTGTTGTAAGAAGCATGACTGATTTAGTAAATACATCTTCTTAGGTCTTGCTTTGTGCATGTGAAACATCTTGTGTTCATTCACCACTTGCAGCACTCCTCTTTTAGACATAAATTGTTTTCATTATCCTTCTTTTGAAATAATGTCACCCTAAACTGAAACTGGTATTGTGTGACCAAAACAGATTAGAAGGATGGCATCCACTTCTGATTTTGGATGACTAAGGAAGATTTTTTTWAAAAAAGATAAGAATCACTCTTTAATTATGTCACTTCCTTTGCTGATAACTCCATTATGGCTTGTTATTGTTCTTGGGATAAGAAGTCAGCACCTTGACTAAGCTTTAGAGCTTCTTGGATTTGGTCCCTCCCTGCAGCTTCAAATTCAACTCCTTCGAGCTCCTTGTGCAGAGGAGAAGACTTTTCTCTATGTTTTTCATAACTTCCTTCCATCACAGAGCATTTCCTTCTGCCTTTCCTTGAATCACTTTGCCTAGTAAATATCTGCTCATCATTTAGAGCTC